CATGGCACGATGACCCGGCTGGGGGTGCCTGGCTCTCCCCCACCCTTTTTCTCTCTCTCATGGAAGAACTTAAAAAAGTAAAAAATCCAAAAGCTTGAGATAATCCACATACCACAAAGTTCACCCTTTACAGTGTATAATTCAGTGTTTTTTAGTATGCTCACGAGGTTGTGTAATCGTCACCATGACCTATTTCAAGAACATTTCATCACCTTAAAAAGCAATTATGTGCCCATCAGCAGTTACTCCCCATTCCCTCTTCCCCACATGCCCTGGTCGCCAATAATCTACTTCTTATCTCTATGGATTCCTCTGTTCTGGACAAATCATAACAATGGAATCACACGATTTGTGATTCTTTGTGTCTACTGTCTTTCCCACAGCATGTTTTCAAGGCTTATCATGAAACCAGATTTACCAAGGTATGATATCAATAATTCATTTATTTTTATAATCTGGGTGTATATTTCATTTATCCATGAACAGCATTTTAAAAATATATGTTTGCTACCTATGTTAATTAGGTCCCAGGATTTCTCAAGACTCAACACATTATCCATACACGCATCTCGTAGCCCGCAACACTGATGACCAGTACTTTACTTTCTGTCGATTTTTAAATCTCATACATAATAATGTTGTACTGTGTATCTCGTGAGTACTTTTGTAACGACTTCTTGGGCTTTCTACCTAGTACCCTTGTTACTAGAAATTGCCCCTTTTCTCCTTCTGAGCTACGTGATTGGTCTTAGCTACAGATGATTGGTCCAGGAATAAACATCTGATTAAAGTGGACCAATCAGGCCCTTTACTGGGAACACAGAATTGGGAGTAAGATTCTGTTTCCAATTTGCTGGTCCTTGGACTGCCAGAGCAACAGCCTTAGAGTAGCTAGCTATTTCCATTAGCCGTGAAGACTAAGCAACTGAGAAAACCAGTCTGTAAGAAAAGCAGAAGGAATCAGAGACAGAGAGTGAACAGCAGAGAAATACTCCCTGGGTTCTCTACGGTGTTCTAATCCCCAATTCCAGGCCATTCCTAAATCTAGCTGCGTATCGGTTCTGGGATTCCATGGAATACCCTCGATCCTCATAATGAACCCCTCTTGCTATTTAAGTTAGTTAATGAGGTTTCTGTTATCTCCACCCAATGATCCTAGTATAATCATCTACCCAGTGAGATATAAGGCTCCTTATTAGCAAGAGATCAGCCTGCAAGCACCCATTATCCAGATATATCCTTATTTAAATGATTAGCTATGGAACAATTTGGAAAATTATGAACAATTTGGAAAATTATCTGTGAAAAATACTCAAGATGGGACCAGCCAGTGGCGTGGTGGTTACGGTAGTGGATTCAACATGGCTGACTATGTAGTTCAAGTCTTGGACTTGGCAGCTTGAAAAACACACCAGGAGCATGTGCATGTGTGTCCAAAATTCCAAGAGGAAAATGGAGAAAGGACTGTGTTGTGGCCATCTCCCCTGAGGGTGTTTTCTCAGTTTCTCTTTCTCTCTCCCCACAGTGAGTGCATGGGCCCAATAGCCATCCCCCTACCCCCCAAAAAAGAAATAAAAGTTAAAAACAAAAACGAAAACAAACCCAACATATTTTTGGATGGATAAACAGAAAAAATTAGGATTCGTATCCACTTTATTAAAAAGTTCTTTAGAAAGTATCACCAAATCGGTGTATCTTTGTATCCATTTTGCAAGAAACCATTTAATTTCCTCAGAAAGCAAGCTTCTTTTTGTATCACACCACTACATGCTCATCTGTGCTTGCTTGGTAGATGTTTGTATTTGTCTTAAGAAGATTTGAAGTTCCTTGAGAACAAGTAACTTCTTTTTCCTTTTGAAGCAAACTCCCACAGACTCTGCTGAAGAGTAACACTCAGCACACACAGCTCTAAGCGAGCAGCTGACCTCCCTGGGTTTGCGTTCTCCTTTTGTAAACAGAATACACTGTCAAGCACGGGTAATTTCCACAAGGATAGCTTACGTGTAATTAAACAGTGTGCACATCTAACTGCACAATGTAGGTTGGGTAGGCAAGGAAGCCCTCAGTAGCCGACTGCAGAGGAGACGCAGCTTTAGAGTGCTTGTTCCCTCAGAGGCTGCGGGGTTCCTGTCACCACTGAACCCTGCAATGTAATTCCCTTCACTTCCTTATGCATAGTCCTTTTTCCAAAATCAAGTCTAGGATTTGTCATCTAATTGGTTCTTAGTTGGGTTAAGGGAGATAAAAACCAAAAAATCCCAAACATTTTCTTAAATCCCTATTAAAAAATCCCATGGGGCTAAATGGACTAATCCTTCAAAGTCTAAGATTGGTTCTCAAGTGGATTTTGTATTGCACAGTTTAATGCCCTTACCTTCCCTACGATATACTTAAAAATTTTAGATTATACTTCCAATATACACAGTTTTAAAAAGATAGAATCCTCTTTAAATTATTAAAGTATTCCAGAGGGGCACAACTTCCTCCTCTCTCAAGCACTGGGGCAGTTTCTGATGGTCTTAACTCCAAATTTGCTCCTCTGTAGTTGGAAGGAACTGCTGGCCCATGCTGAGAGACAAGTGTGGCTTAGGTACTGCTGCCTCCCTCCAAAACGTCAAGCCCTAAGTTAAAAAATACGGCTGACTGGCTGACTGTAAAATTTGCACAAATTTCCTGAGACTCAAACTGATAGGGCAGGAAGGGATTTTAGAAATCTACTTTAACTTAATTATTTTACAACTGAGAGTATCAGGTGGATAAAAGATAAAAAGACTTGCCCAAATTCAGAGTAAGCTGGTAAAACCAGCCAAGTTAGATTAGGGTACTCAGACTTCCTTAATATTCCCTAATGAAAGCTTATCTCTTCATATAACCTACTTAAAATATGAACAGTTACAGTATGAACTGTACTGAAATCCCTTTGCTTTCTTAGAGAAAAAAAGGAAAGCAAAAACTACAACTTTCTGCTTTCAAAACTGAGGGTGAAGGAACCAGCAGTTAGCGTAATGGCTATGTCGCTGGACTCCCACGTAGTCGACCGCGGTTCGTGTCCCGGACCCGGTGGCTTAAAACTCACACCGGGCGTGTGTGCATGCGTGCCCAAGATCCCGAGAGGAGAATGGAGGAGAAGGGATTGCGGCGTGACCATTCCCCCTGGGGGGTGATTTCTCACTTTCTGTCTCTATGTCTCTCTCTGTCTGTCTGGCGAGCACACGCGCCTTACAGTGAAAATCTCTCCAAAAAAAAAACAACAACAAAAAAAGTGAGGGTGAGAGGTGGAGGTATCACATCTTCTTTCACAGAGGTAAGTGGTTTTTTCCTAAATTTCATTCTGCAGTTCTGGTTTTAAAACTTGCCACGGAGGCATAAAGTGACATGATGGACTTGAGCCGGAGGCTAAGTGAAGTGGAACTGAATTCTAGATCTTCCCTGCAGCATGGTTTTTTTGCCATTAGGAACTGTGGCAAAAACAATGGCAGTTACTGATTTTATGTGCCCAAGACTATCCCCACTGCTGTTTTCGATGAACAAAGTCTAGAATCCATTGCCCAGAAGGATGGGCATGTGTCCGACCCTGGCTAATCAACTGTCTCACATCACTAGCAAGAGTCCAAGTTGGTTTTTTTTTTTTTTTTTTCTTTTTCCTTAAGGTTTTTACCATAGGGCATATGCACTCACAGGAAAGAGACAGAGAAAGTGAGAAATCCCTCCACCACCATGGGCGATGGCCATGCTGCAATTCCTTCTCCATTTTACTCTTGAGATTTTGGGCATAGGGAACTAGCAGTTAGCATAATGGCTGGGTCGCTGGACTCCCACGTAGTTGACCGCGGTTCGCGTCCCATACCTGGTGGCTTAAATCTCACGCTGGGCGTGTGTGCGTGCGTGCCCAAGATCCTGAGAGGAGAATGGAGGAGAAGGGATTGCGGCATGACCATCCCCCCTGGGAGGTGATTTCTCGCTTTCTTGTCTCCATGTCTCTCTCTTTCTATCTGGCGAGCGCATGCACCCTATAGCGAAAATCTCTCTCCAAAAAAAGAGATTTTGGGCATGCACACACATGTGCACGGCGTGATTTTCAAGCCACTGAGTCTGGGACTCCAACCTCGGTCAACCATCTGAGAATCCAGTGCCTTAACCAGCGCACCACCTGCTGGCCCTAGTCTAAGTTGTCTTAGGTAGACCATGAGAATCCTTCCCTAGAACTGTGTGTGGCACAGATACTGAGAGAACTGAACTTCCTCTCCGTTTCCCACCAAGTAGAAATGGCTATATGCAGCACGACAGCCTAAGGCCAACATTCAAAGACAAACAGGCAGAGGTGAGAGACAGAGGGTCTGACCATGTCCCATCCTTGGCTGTCGTCCTTGAGCTGTTTCTTTTGATCTTATAAGTTAACCTTGTATGTTTATCAGTTATAGAAATCAGTAAATTCCTCTTCTGTTTAAAGTAGTTTGAACTGGGTTTCCAACATTTATAACTCCAAAGTCTTAACCTATACTTACTGCAAGAGAGAGGACTAGATATACCTTGCCATTAAAACAGGGAAATCACTAAGATTCTGTTAATTAATGGTTTTTTTTTAATTTGGATGCCTTTAGACAGGTTCTACAATCTTTTATATCTATCACTTCTAATACCCTACACTCGCCACATCACTATTTGCATTATATGATCCCTGAAAGTATCTGAGCTTGACACCATTTCCCTAGGAGAGTCCTAGAATGTTTTTTAATCCTAAAATAGTTTTGTTCCATTTGGTTTTCCCAGAAAAAGTAGAATGGAACAGACATTCCAAATAATACAAGTTAAATAAGATTTGACTTTATCTCAAATGTCAAAAAGATAGTCTAGGATTCAACATGATTGTGTGCTAGGAGGCAAATTCTACAATTTAAATCAAACCCAACAGAGCTGCGACGACTTCAGTATAATTTAGTAGCATCTTTTATACTTCATAACAATTGAATTCAGTAACAACAACAAAGCTGAAGACCTACCTCCAATAAGGCTCCAGTCTGGAAGAATTTCAAAGGCTTTTCAATGGAATAATAAAGGCTATGGTAGCTACCCTTGGCCAGGTAGGCTCTCACTAGTCCAACTGCTATAACCAGCCACCTAGTAAAAGAGAAAAGAGCAATCAGGAAAAAGAAAATAAAAAGTAAATAGGAGTTAAGGTAACAGAAAAAATGTAGACCTAAGACAGATCGCTAAAGGTGACCACAAAGAATCAGTACTCAGGATTTCTCAACTAGAGCTCTCAAATGCCCAGCTGTGAAGACCAGAAATGCTGCACCACACCACCACACCAAGAGCACATGGCAAAAGGACAGTGGCACCGCACCCACTGGGAGCTCCAATTTGCGGGCAACCCAGCGTGCTGAGAACAAGCCCAAAATGAAGGGAATAAGCTAAAATGGTCTTGTGCAGCTAAATAAGGTGCCAGGAAGTCTGAGACAGGAGAACAATTCGGTTGAAGGAAAATTCTAAATGCACTGTGATAGTAAGGGTCTTTAATAGATAATCAGGTGGGGAAAAGATATTTTAAATTATTTTTATAAATGCTTTACTAGGTCATACCCATACTTTGAAATCTAGCCTTTACAATGAAGCAAGAATAAATGGTTGTGTGTGTGTGTTAAGTATTTTAGGGACTGGACAGTGTGCAACAGGGCCATCATGAGCAGGTTCCAGGTATGTCTCGAGACCTCCCTGAGAATGCCAGGCACCTACGTGCTCATGATCCGGGCTAGGTGAGGCTGGGGGTATAGACCATGTTAAGACCCTACTGAGTATTCTCTCTGTCCCTCTCACTTGTGGAAGAAATAAATAAGTAAACTCAAATTAAAAAAAAAAAAAGTTTCTCAGTCCAGCTGCAGTAGTACACTCTGTTAGATGCTGCACCTGGCAGGCTGAAGCCACATGGGAGGCCTAGGTTTGATTCTTGGCCCATCCTAAAAGCCTAATCCCAATTGGAAATCTGAGGCAAGCGTATTGCAACATAATGAGATTCTATTGAAAAAACAAAACAGTTTTTTAGTTGAGTTTCGCAAAAACAACTCCGATCAATATGAAACACAAAGCAGGGAAGCACACAGACACGAAGTGTGAATGCTGTATTTCTGTCCCACTATCCTTTATAAAAATAAATTCCAGGCCTTGTAATTTTTTATTTGTTAAATTTCATGGTGAAACCAATGAATTCTTATTACGAAGCTGTCTCCTAAAAGGCAGTAATCGTTATTTAAATGTACAACTTCCTTTAGACAACAGGGTACATGATCTATGCTATTTCTAGAAATAATCACCCAAGGATATCAGATAAGAGTTTGTGGAAGAAGTGAATTCCTTGATGATACAACTGGTCAGGCATCAGCAGTCTAGATAAAAGCTCACTTTTTTTTTTTTTAAAGGATTATAGTTTGATCAGAGACAGGGAGAGGGAAAGTGAGAAAGCAAGCCACCAGGTCCGGGGCTTGAACTGTGGTTGGCCATGTGGGAGTCCAGTGCCTTTAACCACCGGCCGGCCTGATAGAAGTTGACTTTACTCCCGTGATCACAAATTCTCTTCTTGGTTTAAGACAGCAATTCCTACCCTCCACCCATTCTCTATGTTTATCCCAGGAGTAAAGATTTCTTTTGTTTTTCAAAGCCTAGTGTAGCTTAAAATCCCTTTCTAGTCCAATGCTCATTAATATCCTTGCTAAGACAAGAATTCAATATATTAACACATACACATTCCTAAATTCTTTTTTTTTTTTTTTTTGAGAGGTTTTTGCTATACGGTGCATGCGCTTGGCAGAAAGACAGAGAGAGACAGAGAGACAGAAAGCGAGAAATCACCCCTCGGGGGATGGCCACACTGCAATCCCCTCTCATCCATTCTCCTCTCGGGATCTTGGGCACATACACACACCCGGGATGAGTTTAAGCCACTGGGTCTGGGACTTAAACCACAGTCAACTACATGAAGTCCAGCAACATAGCCGTTATGCCAACTGCTGGTCCCCATTCCTGAATTCTTAAAAAATAATTTATTTAAAAATCATGGGGGCCGGCAGGTGGTGCGGTGATTAAGGGCGCTGGACTCCCACATGGCCGGTCGCATGGTTCGAGTACCGGACCTAGCAGCTTGCTTTCTCACTTTCTCTCTCTCTTGCTCTTGCTCTCGCTCTGTCCCTCTCTGGTCAAATTAAAATAAGTAAATAAATAAATGAAGTTAATTTATTTAAAAGAAAATCAATCTATGGGGGCCAGCAGATGGCATAGCAGTTCTATCATTGGACTCTGACATTGGGTCCCTCACCTGGTGGCTTCAAAATCACACCAGGCATGTATGTCTGAGCGTGCCCAAGACACAGGAGGAGAATAGAGAAGAGACTGCAGCATGGGCCTCCCCGGTGGGAGATAATTTCTCACTTTCCCTCTCAATGTTTCTGTTTCTCTCTCTGGCAAGTGCCCACACCCTATGGCAAAAACCTCTAAAAAAAATAATAATCTATGGGTCTCCTGACCTAGTAGTTAAGGAAGCTGGATCCCACATGGACAACTGCACAGTTTGAGTTCTAGACCCAGGAGCCTGACAGACACACCAGGCATGTGTGTGCATGACGTGCCCCAAATCCTGAGAGAACGGAGGGCAAGGGACGCAGCATGGCCATCCTCCCGGGGGGGTATTTCCTCACTTTCCCTTTCTTTCTTTCTCCATTGAGCACACACGCCCCGTAACAAAGTAAAAATAAATAAAAATCAATCTACGGGGAGCCCAAAGATGGCGTAGTGGTGACGTTGTGGAATTCCCACAAGGTGGGCATGGTTCTAGTCTTTGACCCAGGGACTTGGAAAATCATGCGGGCGTAGGTGCATGCGTGCCCAAGATTCCGCAAGGAGAAGGGATAGTGGTGTGGCCATTTGGGCTTTCTTTTATTGTTTGTTTTTAGAGAGGTTTTTGCTATAGGGTGTGTGCACTCGCCAGACAGACAGAGACTGAGAGACAGAAAGCGAGAAATCACCCCCCAGAGGGGATGGCCACACCGCAATCCCTTCTCCTCCATTCTCCTCTCGGGATCTTGGGCACGCACGCACACGAGCCCAGCGTGAGTTTAACCCACCGGGTCCAGGACTCGAACTACGGTTGACTACGTGGGAGTCCAGCGACACAGCCATTACGCTAACTGCTGGCCTCCCCGGAAAGGAATTTCTTACTTTCTCTCTCACTGTCTCCATTTCTTTCTGGTGAATGCATGCACCCTAAGGCAAAAACCTCCAAAAACCTCTAAAAAAAAAACCCTATGTATTTTTCATTTCTCTTATGAGTATGGATCCAGAGATCCAGAACTGCTACTTAAGTTCTGTGATTTCAAGGAAGTCACAACCTTTTTGAGCCTAGCTTTCAACACCTACCATTTTAAATACTAGCAATAAACTGAAGCTCCTCCTGGGATGTATTTGTGTGTGTGTAAAAAAGCAAGGTGCTAAACTGTAAAAATATATTAGCACTTGTGTTTCAAAAAGTCTGTGTAAATGGGGATGTATATATCCACTTGCTAGTACCAGCATCTTCAGGACACAAAATTAGCTGTCTCCATCTGGGTGGAGGGGAAGGGGGAGCAAAGAGTTTTCCCTGAATGCGCTTGTGTATGTTTTTCATTTTGAACTCTGCCAAAGGTAGTACTTATTTTAACAAAGAAATTAAATCTAATGTATACTATTATTTATTGTTCTTTCAACTTTTCGGCATGTTTGAAAATTTTCGTAATAAAAATGCTATGAAAAAATTTTCTTTTACAAATGAATACGATTCAAAAAATACGTAACATAGTCTGATCCCGTGATCCTCCTCGCCCAAACCACAGGACCATAGAACTGTAAGAGCTGCGGAAACCTGAAGACCACCTAGCCCAACTCTACTTTTAGAGATGAAGAGAGCCACAACGCGATTTACCCCAAGTCTCATGGCTCCTGTCAGAACTCTACAGAACTGAGAAGCCGGTGGTAAGGGATGGACTGAAATGACGGAGACGTGAGAAGGGTAAAACCTGTTCCCAGGTCCCTACTTCCCCTTCCTCAGTCACCATCTCCTCCACCCCCAGTTTCTTCCACACCCCGGCCCCGATCCACCCTAAAAAGTCTACACTCATCTAAAGCACAGTTCTGCTCTTGTCACTGGTCAAAAACTTCCAAAGCTTTCCATTTCCTTTCAGTCTCACGCGCAGCCTGGATTTTGAAAACAGCCGCCGGAATGAATGGTCACGGTGCGGCCACAGCTCCCTCCACCCCGGGCTGCTCGACCGTTCCGCGCCGGACTGGCCGCCCCGGTTGCCCGGGGGCAGGACGGCCAG